CAATTAGAGTCAGGGGCCCAACTATCACCCAGCGATCCACTTAGGAGGGATTCTAATGGTACGGTCATGCGTGAACTCTGTTGTCATGAGTTGCAGAGGGGCGTATACTCCTTATGGCAATGAGAGAATATGTCAGATAAGTTATGGCTCGGTTAAAATTATTTCTTCTCAAGGAGGTTGGCAGCGGAGGGATTAATAGTACACTCATAGGTAGATGCCAGTTGACAAGCAGAGCAGGCCGAGGTGTCAAGTAATCAAGGGATATTTTCAGTTGTGACAATACAACTCATGTTCATGATAATTAAATATGGCGCCCGCATGTGATCAGAACACTGGTTACATTCAGAAGGTAAGTCCTAAGGCTTCAGAAAGTGAGAAACAATTTTGTAATGTAGGCTGCTTACAAATCAGGTTTATTGATTTTAACATGGAAACAAATATGATTATACAAGTATGATTTGAGGTTTTCACAGCGGTGAGTATGAATATTTCTGTCTTCTGAATCGCCCTGATGACGGAGGCAGTATGACCTCTGAAACGTTGGTAAATATCGACCAGACTACACAGCGCAACAACCCAGAAGACAGAAATCTTCATGATTATATAACATAGACATGGATTTCATGTTGAAATATTGAGTAAGCTAAATGACACGTAATATGAAGTGAAATAATGTACTTTGAGTAAAGGAGACTTGAAAACAGCACAGATGACGTATGTAAAACAACTTTTGAGGTTTGCAGAATTGGATCACCAAAGGAATGAAAATGTATGGAAAAGATTTAAAGATCAACATACAAACAGAAGACGTGTCTATTTATCAAGAAAATTGGGAAAGGCATATAGATAATTTTTACCGAAATTAGTACTTCTGAAACCCGTTGTTAAAGTAAGCAGAGAACATAAAGCAGACAGGTATAAATACAAATTTTTTGACGATAGTTGGTGGAACGATCCTTGTAAGTTTTTAAGTCTAACTTGATCAAGGAGAAGACAAAGATAGTAATAAGCAATCCCCGAAGTATTGATGATGTCACTATTTATTGCACCTACAGCCATGAGAGATGTAATCTTCTCCATTCCTTGTGTCTTCCTTTCTCAAGCCAAAACGCACTCCTAAGAATCCCATTTTCAACCATCCTTTTGGCAGTGACAGACCACGTTCCACGCCCATACACAGCTACGGGTAGAACTACAGATTTGTATATTTTAATCTTCAGATTTCTAGAAACGAGACAGAAAGATAAAATATTCTGAACTGAATGGTAGGGCGTTTCTTCAGTTATAATCATAAAGCATTTTTTACTTATGTTAAAAGTTCCTAAACTTGAAGAATTATAAACATCAAACCGTGTAATACTGATGTTGTAGCAATACTTGACTGTAAAATCCCTGTAAAAATTTGACTTGCAAATACGAAAATCTGTTTCGAAAAATAGGTAAAGTGGATACGACAGTCGAATACAGAGTTGAATCCTTAAAATTGTAACATAATAATGTGTACACATGTATGTCTCCTCCGACCTTCCGTTGCTGGTAAAATAACTTTTACTTTATTACACAGCTGTAAGCTATGAGTGAAACAGCAGTCAACCCTTGTGTATCGTCAGACAAAAATGAAATGAAATTAATAATTCTCGCATCTGTCAGCTTCATTTTTTCTTAATTTAACGTAATTATGGCATGAATTATGTCCCTTATCTAATTAGAAACACCGAAGCTATTAATCGAACTTTATGTTCCCGTGTCTTCTTCCCTTGCTATTAATTTTCTCGCTAGAATTTTTATTTACCACGTTAGCTTAATCTCTCATCTATGTGTGAGGAAGTCCTTTATGTCCTCAACTGTTATTTTTCCCATGGCCGAAGCGGATCTCCATGCTTTATTTCAATATTCAGACCCTCCTTTTACATCCAACAGATCGTACCTCTTATAGGAGAAATTCATTAAAAAATGCCCCTCCGTATGAATAGGCGCGTAACAGATTAAGCTTTGAATACTGATGATGAGCATAAACTCAAGTTTTAGGGTTTAGTTTCACCGACAGCCGGAAACAGGAAGGAAACCACTTTTTTGTTTAAATAAGACAGGAAGCTTTGCACAGTAGATGCGACACCTAAGTGAAAGTATGCAAGAGACGGTCTGATACAAAGTCAGATTATATCTGGAATATTTACCTATCCCACGATTTATGAAATTTAGATTCACGAATCATGTAAATTTAGTCCTATACGTGTTTTTCGGTTTATGAACATTATTTTCGCTACAACGAAAAATCAATTAATTTCTTTATGATTGATTCTTTATTAGTAGTATTATCTCATCTATCCACCACTTTATAGGGCATTTACTTCCATGTACCCGAGACAAACCCTGTCCCTAAGGTACATAGTGCAGCAGCTATTTCCGAAATTCATTTTGTTTGTAATACCTGTTACATATATTATATAGTTTTATTGTTAGAGATGACTACATATTTTACAACAGCGTCTTTCGAATGATGTATGAAAATCCTAAAATGGCAGTTTTATGCAGTTCCCTGATATCGTGTTCGCCCGGGATGTTGGCAAAATATTTTCTGAGTGACCTGTAGACAATTCCAGTTGCTCCTATAATTATTGGAATTAATTTTGTTTTAACTTTCCACATTCGTTGTATTTCAATGAGAAGGTCCCTTTATTTCAAGATCTTCTCTGCTTCCTTCTTAATAACATTCCTGTCAGTCGGTATTGCTATATCAATTAAGAGACAAGTTCCATTTTTGTTACGGATTTATTATTATTATACGTACAGCAATTAAGGATATAATAAAGGCAATTATTTATTCTTTGCTTTCGTAACTTTTTATGTTTGTTCTGTAACTAAAGTAAGAGCTGTAATCTGTAAACGTTTGAGGTGACACTTCGATAGTGTTTTGCGGGTTTAAATAGGTAATAATTATCATGAAAAGTACTACTCTTCATATTCTTATGAGCGTATGCTATTATGACATATGTGGGAAAAATATTGAGTTATTTTTTAACAGTGAAATTAATGGGAATTTCATTTTATATTTACGAATTTTCACATTACAAACAGTTGTATTTATCACTTGCAATCTTTCCTTGAGCAGAGATCCACTCCTTTCTGATTCTAATAAAACAGGATATATACATATCAATGTCTTTCTCAACCAAATGATGCATGATAGTTTAGTCAACAAACTGAACGCGCTAAGTTAGATTCCTTACAGGAGCACAGGGGAATTTTTTGCTATCATATCTTCCAGAATGCCTGTGTGTCTTACCCAGTCTTGTATGCAGGGAAGCATTCCCCGGAATGAAGCGGTCAGAGCGTGAACATTTTCTAAACATAATGTCGAATTTCACCCCCGTTCCCCTTTACCACCATATTTTGTTTTACGATAAGTTGCTCAGAAACACGAGTGATTCCGCATTTATATTAAGTTGCCATGTTTCCTCTTCTGTTGTAAGGAAGACCTCTATATCAATTGAGAAACTTCGCGGAGTTAACGTGCCGACAACGTGTGGAGAAATTTGTTTTTATCGAACATCGCCCAAAGAATCTAAAGTAATAATAAATTAGTATCTCCAGTGTATAATGTAAAACATATCTGTCTAAAGTTTTGTTCTATCCTGTCTGCCTTCTTGTAACTGAATACATATGATGCATTAAGCTGTCATTGTCTCAGGGTTTAGTGTGCAAAACAATGTAACTTACTATTTAGTAATTTCTATAGCCGTTTGTGGTGCTATGGGGCTAAATGATAATTCAGAAGCGTTATGTCACGTTACATTCACTTGGTCCTTTTATTGAAGTCGTGGGGTATAAGAAATAAAGAATTTCAGTAGTTTATTTTAAAGCAGATGGGCGGGTCATGCAGCGCGCATGGATGGTACAAGAGGTGTGCACCGACTATTGTTTGGGAAGCCTGAGGGGAAGAGACCGAGAAGACGATGGGGTATGGAGAAAACTGCCTAATGATGAGCTTAAAAATTTGTACTCCTCCCCCAGTATTGTCAGGGTGATTAAGTCGAGAAGAATGAGATGGGCTGGGCATGTAGCGCTTATGGATGGGACAAGAGGTGTGCACCGGGGATTGGTTGGGAAACCTGAAGGGAAGAGACCGCTGGGGAGACCTAGACGTAGATGGGAGGATAATCTCAGGCGGGATCTATGGGAGATAGGAGTCGAAGGAGACTAGATTTTGTTGGCCCAGGACAGGGTTCGGTGTAGGGCTTTGATTAGTTCGGTGATGAACCTTCGGGTTCGGTAAGCCATCTAGTTAGTTAGGTGGTACATTTACCACTGAACATTAAAGGGTTAATGTCGGTGAGGTACAGCGACGAATTTCTGTAGGCGCAGTGACGATTATTATTAAACTATCGCCTACTTTCTAGAACTTTTAAATTAATGGTCTGCGTTTATCCATTGTTACTACGTGGGATATGTCTCATTAACGGCCTCGAACGGTGCACTGACTAGCTATCAGAACGTTTGGGCAACCCTCGACTTAGCGAGCGGCCTCTGGAATCGACGTAAATAAGAAGAGTTGATTTGATTCATCATTTACATTTTTGTTTTGTGTTCCACACATGTTTTCTAACTTTGTGGCTAAGTGCTTAGCTTCCTTGTTTCATATTTTATAGGTATCCGTTTTCAATCTTTGTCAGGATGTCTGATATCTTGTGGTTTTCCTAGACCCTAAACTAATGTTGAGGAACAGAGCTTTAAAATAAGCAATGTCTGTTTACATGCACTTTTTTAAATTTACCATTTCAAACCATCGTATAATTCGATTCTGAAAATCCTATACAGTTGTAAGGTGTCATTAAATAGCCAAAGAATCGTTCATGTATAGTTCTCCTGCGTTTCAAACCAATTATGTTTGCAATTTCTCAAAAAATGTCGATGTTGAAACAGTGGATGCTGTATTCTCTAGTTAAACGTGTCATTAGAAATCATGAGCGCCTTCTGAAAGGAGTGTTTCCGACACCGACCTGTACTGCTGGTCAATGTGCGCCTTCTCGAGGCGCTTGTCCTTGGCTCGCCTGTTCTGGAACCAGATCTTGATCTGCGTCTCGGTGAGCGCGAGGGTCTCGGCCAGCTCGAACCGTCTGCTCCGTGAGATGTACTCGCTGCGGTGGTACTCCAGTTCTAACCGCAGGGTTTGTTCGTTGCTGAACGTCGTCCGCTGCCTCCGTGGTCGTCCCTCTTTTCGACGACGTCTGGCTACTGCAACGAGAATGCCACAGTCAGGACTTTTACGGCCGGGTTCAGGCCTGGTTTAAATCGAACGTTTTAAACTTTATGGAACAATTCTTTTTTCGAAAAAAAAAATATGATTCGTAGTTGGACTCATTTATTTCCGTGACACAGTCGAGTTTTTGGAAACATCTCACCGACTTGATTTTTTGAGGGGAATCTAGTAGTTCCCCTCCCAAAAACATAAATTTACAAACTTGGTATCAGACATTTTGTACCGTTCCTCAGACGCCTAAATAAATTCAGAAGTTTATAAAGCGGTGTTAAAGGATTACTGGCATTTGTGATATTAATTAAAAATGTGTTAATAATACGAGAGTCGGTGCAGTCGGATTTAGGTCGGATACGATTAACATATTTGGAGGTAAATTTCGAAATCGGGGGGAAATGCTTCTCGGGTCGGATGAAATTCTGAAATTTAGGACGGGATTCACTTGCAGTAACGTGAACTATTGCATGCATGTTTAAAACACGCAACTGCTAGAATTTATGTTATTAAGATTTGATGTGAGTTATCTTTTTCGTGCTAGTTTCATTAGCGTTAGCATCTAAAAGTCAAGAACATACGTACTGATATGCAATAAAATATATATTGGGAAATTTTATTAATATCTGCTGAAACATTTTGGTTTTATAACATCAAACAATAATAACTGGCACTTGAAAACGTACACACAATTTTGCGCGTGGAAAAGTCTGGTTGTGGAATCCCCAACTATGTGGACAATCCTCCGTGATGGAATTATAACTCAGACAGGCGCCAGATTCACGCCCACATTAAGGTTTTTGACCGCAGGTACTCTGATATCACTGTTCGCGAACGCGCACCATAATTACACTGCATCTTTCTTAACGTGTTGCTATGTTTACGTGTTAACATGTGAATGTTATTGTTGAAGAGACACGACTCCTTTGTTAACAGACTGTAGGACGCATTTTCTTCGTTAAAGAAAATCACTATGGACATTACAGTCTAGCACCCCTGCTTCGTATCACGGAGACCCAGGATTCAAGTCTTAGCTCGACTATCGGATTTCCTAACTCACGTTTACCGTAGTTTTTCTCGGTCCCTCCAGGCAAATAATAAACTAGTACCTTAAAGTAGACAACCGATTACTTCAGCAGCCTTTCCAATTCATTATTTGTGCTAATGATCACTCGAATATATTTCAGCTTAACAGTTGAAAGTAAATAAAGTTGGAGGACGTCCAAGACAAAAGGATCAGTTATTCTAAACGTGATATATCGTTTGTAGCTTTTAATGTCCGAAATGCGTTGTATTTTTTGTATTTTTTAAAGAATTGTTAGCACCTCTGCTCCAACCATCAGGTTGGAAGACGGGTGGCGAGCTTTTTTAAACACGTGTTCAATGCAATGAGGGCAATTTCTTGATTATCTAAGAGTACTCTTAGGTCTCCAGGACAACTCTGCTGCTTTCAACATGCTATTTTATCCCGCGTCCATCGCTTTATGTCGTCGCTTGTTTAACCTCTGGTACTTGAAGTGTGAGTGACCAGAACAAGAGACTGTAGTTCCGGTGTCAGTGTCCGCCATCTGTCCGACACTTCCGTAGCCAATCACTGCCCTTATTACATTCCCTAGCCATATGGTGGCAGCACTTCCGTGTAGGAAGACAACTGACTGCCGAAGTGTGACCGGAAAGATTTCACAACTTGGTGCATCGGAAACTGACTGAAAGGAAATTGCTTCTTAATACCCTAACTCTTATGAAAGACTGATGACAACCTCAGCTGTTTATCGAAGAAATTAAACCTATAAATACCAAATAAAACAGCCTTAATTCGCTAAGTAAGAAAATGTTTGCAACGTCCTGTGAAATGATTCTTGTTTGCACATTAGTGAGCTGTCTGAGTGTACAGCTATTCCCAGACAGAAACAAAGCCAGCTCGTTAGCAAGACAGCTGGCTGTCTTGTGAGCTATCTTCTGCATTGTCGGGACTTCTTTGCATGACTCCAGCTGGCGGACAGCCCACTGTCCACGTGTATCCAAGTCAACAGGCCGATCGCATTCATTGTGTGCGTTGTCACAGTTTAAGTATTGTTATGTGAGGAATTTACGAAGTAACCAGCTACTCCCAGAGTAGTTAATATTTTGTTCATCCGATCAAGAAATCTTATTTTATGGGGATCAAATTTTTTTAACAATGTGAGATTTGAGGTTCTTACTGCGGTCAGGATGATGGTGTTCTAATGGATTTTGGTGCCGTGTAGACTCGTTGGTACATGCCGTTTCGGAGAAATATATTGTCAGTAACTTTATCCCTGAAGATTGAGACGAGTAGGTCTGTGATTTTCCTAAGCTATGGCATCTAACGATGAGCTTAAGAATGCGTGGAGCAGTAAATAACTCCAGGCGTAGTGCATAGCTGCATTTAATTACGTGTATCGATATTCTAAACATTTTAGATGAAGATCTTGGTAAGCACTACATTTTATGTACTTCACGCAAATAACTCACAAGATTATGAGTTAAAATATGCACAAGTAAGACCAATTATTCGCAAGCGATATCTCGTCTGGAGTAGCTACTAAGAAGAATATTGAAGTTTAAAGTGAAGTTTTCGCGGCGACTGAAGTTGATGAAAGACTCTCGGGCAACAAGCCTGTTTCGTTTCGCAGCTGCCCTGAGGATGAGAGCAGAGATGGCTCTCGAAACGTTGGCAGAAGAAATGGTTCATTCACCATTCAGCCACCTGACGCGGCTTTTGTCCGAGAGTCTTTCATCAAAATCAAGAATATTAAAGTTGCACAAGGAGCCAGGATTCATAGATCCTATCTTTGTCTTCGTATTGGACTGTCTAAATCCAGAAAAGTTGAGATTTGTGGGACATTTATTACGTTTAGGGGACAACATAATTATATTCAACGTGAATGTTTGGTAAACAAGTTATCAGGTTGTGAATTGTTATTAATTTTCTATTTTTGCGATCTTTATAAACGACTTTTTGCTGAACTGCCGGATTATGTAATTATGGAAATGTTTTCAGTTACCTAAATCTATTTAAGGCATTTCCTCATCCGGGAATTAGTTTTACTTCTGGAGTAATTTTGGCTGGAGGAGAGGGTCCATAATTGGTTTTATAGGGTCAGGGAGACAATATTACGTTTGGTTTGAAAATTGCTGTCCTAAGTTATATATTGTTTGTAACGGCAAGATATTCATATCACGAAAGTTTCTAAAAATTAATTTGTGTGTTGCCCCATCCGTTTTCTCTCACAATACATCATGGAAACTTCTGCAGATAGCAACATCGATGTATCGATCCAATTATCGAAAACAAAAGCAATAAAGCTGACATTTCGATCTTCATTAATTCCTTCCGACGTAATTTTCAATGTGCTTTGTGTTTAGCACGGTAGCCGCACGCGACCTAAGCAGGAAGTTGAACGACTGTTATTAATTTGTTCATCCGGTTCGGTGATATATTAAGTCCTTAGGGTAGGTTTACCTTCCCTCCATTGTGCTGTCCCTGTCTTGAAACATTTTTGACGGTCTGCCCACAGGCCTTGGTAACGGCACGCGACTCACAGTACATGATGACCGAAACAGTTTCGCTCAGGGCTCATATGTCATCCAGTTACACTAAACGTGTGCTGGAACTGACATACAGTATTAAAGTGTGCAAGTTACAAAGTCTGCTTGTTGAATGCTACTGTAATAATAATAATATTATTTTTATTTATTTATTTAGTGTTCTGTCTGACGACAGGTCCATATGAACAGGATCCTTCCATCCTTTTCTCGGACTGGGACCTGTTCATATACGTTCTTGGCAGATGATCCAGAAGTGGTTTGCCATTGCCTTCTTCTGTGTGTGAATGGAGTAATTGTTGGGATGCCACGGAGAAACCGGGGAAGCCCCCGGAGGAAAACTCCGTGTTGCCTAGACCACGGCCTTGCCCAACACAAGTTATAAATTCGGGCACCGCCGGGAATCGAACCCGAGACCCCAGGATTACAAGGCCAGCGTTCTAACAGCTAGACCACCGTGGCGTTCAATATTATTATTATTCTCTCATTTCTTACATGTGAATCATGTGCAGAATATACTCGTGTGTGTTACAAATAAACTATGCAGTAAAGTTATAATTTGTAATCAAAACATAATCTAAACTGAAATTTTAGTCACATATGTACAGTAAACGAAGTGCAGGATCTACATTTTCAGTTCTCTGTAGGCCTCTGTCTGTCCGTCTGTTGGCGTATTTATTTGCTTAGAGTGTCCTATTACAGCAGGGGTTCCTAAACTGTATCCGCGGAATACTGCGATTCTGAATGATGGAATGAAGGGTTTCGCGAGAAAAACTAAACTATTAAAATAATGTTTTCTAACATAAATTTTTGTTGGAGTGGTTCAGCGAAAACTGTTTAACATTTAAAATAATGCGAAATGCAATTTAGACAGTATTTGAATAAATTACTTGTCCTTCAAATGTCACACCTCGTCTAAGAACTGGACATTTGGTCATTAGTGCTAAGCTGGTTTCCTACCCGTCCAGCAACACTAATATTTTTAAAAGGACAGAACTGTAAACAAACAGGAAAAAGAAGACACGCCAGTTTCCTTATTTTAAAACGCATTTGTAATAAATATTTTAGTAACCAAACATTATTTACATAATTCAGTGAATTTATCTAGGCATATATTATTGTAAAAATTGTAACGTGTTCTGTTTCTAACCTCTTAATGCCACACGAACATGCAGATGACTGTCTTGCGGGATGTTGCGCAGTGTAGTCTGATAGAAATTTACTGACGTTTCAGACATTCTTACTGCCTCCATCATCAGGGCAGACTACACGGTGTAACATCTCAGAAGATATTTATCTTAAAATCTCTTGCCGTCACAACTTGAAACCTCACTCATCGTACTAACCGATCTGTTTAGTTCTCTTAATGTATGTGTTCCATCAGGTCGGGCCAAGAATTATGAATGATATCGTTCGT